CTTTCTATGGAGTAATTCGTTAATGTTGTGATATTTGATAAATTATTTTAATAACTTCAAATGTCGATACTAATTCCATTAATTTTTTATTGAGCCAATAAAACATTTTACCTTCATACATATGAAAATTTTATATCATTTAAAAAATATTTATTTTTTTAGTGTTAGTAGAATAATGCTATATTTTAGCATTTTATGTAACTAGTAAGTATATAAATTCGAACATCGGTCTTATATAGTTTTTGATTTTCTTTAATATAATTTCATAAAATAATGCGTTAAATACGCACCAAATATTTGAGTTGATTTTAATTGCTGGTATATAGAAGTATACGTATATAAATATATATACATTATAATTAATTATAGCATAATTTAAATGAAAGACTATCCAGTTGTGATTTCAATAACACTTGAACATAGCCAAACAATACTGGACTGACGAACCGTATTGTCAGATACCCTATTTGTAAATTTGACAATTAAGCAATAATACTTGAACATAGCCAAACAATACTGGACTAACGAACCCTATTGTCAGATATCTAAATTGACTTGATCTAATTTAAACTAAGGCGGTATCTGTTCAGCACCACGGTATCTGTGCTGACGGGCCACTGCGAAATATGAATGCATACTATGAGACTGCGTCTAGCCTATAATGACTTTTGTCGCGAATGTGGCTCTGTATCAGTGCACTTCTCTTGTATCAGTATACTTCTTTACCTAGGAGAAGATTAAAAATCTTCGGGCCCCCTTTTCTTACCGAACGGGTCGAACTGTCATCCTGTAATATTAGGGACCTAGCCAAATTCATAGAATTTTCAGGTTGGTTTGCCTTTACCTAATAGGGAATTCTTTACCTTTTTCGGCGTTGATCGTATACTGATCTTTCAGTCTATGTACGTACCAACGCTAGTCCTGTGATGCCATAATGGTCCATTATTTGAGCTCAAGTGCGCTTTTGGATACGATGCTGCCATTTCAACATTAGCTTTAAATATATCCAAAGCCAATAGTAATTATTTTATTAGTTATATTATTTTTAAATTTATGATTAATGTTTTAAAGAAATTTAATATATATTTTAAATATTACAATGCAACTTCCTGTTATGCATTTAACAGTTTTTTAAGTTTTTTTTAGCGATTGTTAATATATAACACTATAACACTTAATACTTATTTAACCAACTAAACAAATGACAATAAACAATATTTTTTTTTTTTATTTTTAACAAAAAAAGTATTAACGTTTAAGGAAATGTTAATTAAAGCTAATTTGTCTACGGATAATGAGTTTCGAAATTTCCAAAATATGCATTTCTTACTTTCTAGTAAAATTGTCCATATATATATAAACTCGGCGCAATTCACAAAATGTTGATACTGACACCAGTCTAATAATGTAAACAGACTCTTAACCGGGTTTTAACATTTTAAACATTTTCAAAAACACTACAAATATTTACCAAATATTGGCAAAATAATAAATGTCAAGTTTACTGAGTGCATTAACATATTTTCAAGACGGAAATATTAAATAATTAATATTTCAACAAATTTTAGTATTGTGATACATTTACATATTTTATAAACAAATAAAAAATTTATATAAATATAATCATACAACAAATAATGCCTCTACAAACAGATTTGTACTGAAATTTAACAATTAACAATAAAATATAATTAATTAATTCAATTATTATGATTTCATTCTAATATAAACACAGCCAGTGAATTTGTTAATCAAAACTTTCACAACAAAACTCAAGTCAAGTATGGCTTTGGGTAAGTTGGTTAAGGTGCGCTGACTCTAAGCTTCAAATTTGGCAGGGCACGAGTTCAATCCTTGGTACTTGCAGCCTCAAAAAATTATTTACGAATAATTAAATACAATAATTATTTCTAAGACAACTGATGATGACTGATCATAAAGCCAAAATTTCAATTAATTAAAATAATGCAAAATAAATTTTTTGTAGTTCCCTACTGTTCGAAAGAACTTCTTTATAAATATAATTAAAGAATTTAGTTTTTATTTATTTTTTTTTTAAGATGCTTTATTTTTGAAATATAAAATTAAATAAGGCATTTTAATAAAAAAAAGAATACATATACATACATATATAAATCAATTATATTTTTTTTAGAAATTGGTTTCTTAAAATATTATAAATATAACTTATATAGCTTTTAATGTGTTAATTAAATATTAATTTTTAAATATTCTTAGCATTTGTTAATTACAATTTTTATAGCTTGTTACTAAAAATAATTATGATTTCTTAATGACCTAAGTAAATTCTTGGTATTTACCTTCCTAATTTACACCAGTAAATCGAATATCTTTTTAGTGTGTTAAACAAATAAACATTGAACCAAAATTCATTCATAAAATTTTTTAAACAAAGAAAACATTTAATATTACAATATGTAAATTAATTATTTGTTTAACTATAATTAATGATTACTTACACCACAGTAGCTGTTAATGGTTCGAATAATGTAAGAAACGTTTCAGAGGTGTAAAAATCTATATCCAGAACCATTAACAGAACCATTAAACGAACGTTTAGAAAAAAGTTGCTTCACATACAAAAAAAGTGTTAATTTATTTTAATAAGACATTTTTAATGAATTTATAAATTTTTATCGAACTTTTTAATTCTTATATATGCATATTGATTTCTATAAAAACACAGATGTCTAAATATGATTACATTACAACAGAGTTCATATTTTTTTTTATAAATTATAGTTGTATGTGTCATACTCAACATTGTAACTAATATATGTGGACCAGTCAATCTCAATCCAAAAATTTTGCAAAATAGAAACTCATATTGCCAATATGAACACAACATAACTGTATATAGAACATAACTGTTCTGTTATGTCTGCGGTCATACCTAATCTCATTGAAATATGGGTTTTGTAATCTAAAAAATTTAAAATCCGAACAATTTCTAACCGGAATCCCATCATTAAATTCAATTCAACACACTTCCATATCTTCGTTCGATTAAATTCTTTCAGACTGCCATGACTATAGTCAGATTTAATTTGACTATAATATGGGTTTACTGATCTAAAAAAATATGTGAATTCAAGGTATGAACGGCTTGTAACCAGCGCCCCGCCGTCGAAGGTACTTTACATGTTATACATTCCTTTGGTACACTCTTTGCTTTTTAGATTGCTACCTTTTCTGTAGTCAGACTTAACTTCACTAAAATATTTGGGGCAACTAAAATATGGGAGCAAAAATCAAATAAACTAGTATTAAACTAATAAATTACATCACTCCAACCATCCCCTTTACATAAGACATATAAAATCCTAATACCTGATAGATACCTAATACCTGATCCTAATACCTGATCCTAATATCTGAAGTCAATCCTTATTTACACGTAAGGTTCAACATCTATTTAATATCTTCTATATTTACACTCTGTGGCGTGTTCAGGGAATAGATAGGCAATATATTCTACATAAAATATAAAGTATAAAATTCTTATATACTTTTGTTTTAATATTTTAATAACAATAATTATTTGAAATTATTTTACTATAATTGTTATTTATTACTATATTTATTATTTTATTTAATAATAAAATTATAGAAATACCACAGAAACTCAGTTAGTTTTAATAATAAGAAGTTTAAGATTATTTTCTTCATAAATATATTAATATAAATATGTGCTTAAAAATTAAACTGCTGCTAAACCTTATTGAAATTAATTAAGTTAATTACAAAAAAATTTTGAAAACATTTATTTTATAGTTTATCCCCACCTCTACCAAGACATAGACTCTCCTACTTAGGGTCACACTTTTTCAAGTCACTAAGAGAGCTAGATTCTATTTCTATAGCTCGTGTCAATGGCTTTGTGGTCAGTACCACATTCTTTAGGGTATCATAATGGATCTCATGGTCTAAGTGAGTCTTCAGACGGCCCCAGTAATTTAACCTAACCGTATCCCCATCTCCGTACCATTATCTATCTGACAAATAATAGCAGATGGACTATTTTTGACAATTTTGATAAAAAATATTTTCTAGAATATCCTCTCACCCCTTGCCACAATTCTGCCAGCGTCACTGTTTGCACTTTTAATCACCAAACCTCATTAGCACATTTTTCTATGATACTTAGTGCTGCAAATTTACCGAGCTAATTGTGATAGTGTAAACGCACTGTAAGAAAAATAGTATTAAAACAATGAGTTATTTCATTAGGTGGATTGCAAAAAATATAAACTTGTTGATATTCGTTATATATTTATATAAAATATTGATATTTAATTAATATATTATATATCATAATATATATAATTATTATATTAACTTGATATACACATATTAATTTGTTCAAATATTAATACTTTAAATTGTGAAATTATTCATATCTTCATATTTTTTGCTGTGAAATAAGGGATTTTGATAATTTAGATTAATATACTAAACTCTTAAATATAAGGTCCTAGTAATATGTGAATATTAATATTTGATATGATTGGATTAAAATTTAATATTCAAATTTAGCCCAGTTGATAATGTCACATAGAGCAACATAGCTTATTTTTATATATATTTAATATTAAAAGAGATATTAGGCCTTTATATTCGAAATGCATATACGAAGATGCAGACGAAGACAACGCAAAACACACCATCTTAAATTGGAACAGGTGGAACACATTGATGATAATGATAACAGCGAAGATGATGCTATCTGAAAAAGGCTGGATCGCCATAGATCTCCGCATAAAAAACAAAAACAAAAAGCCTTATATTTTCAAATTGTTATTAAACAACATTTCGAATATTAAAAAAATACTTTAATATTTTTTAACCAATAACTAAATTTTTTCTTTGATTAATTTTTTACTTACCCTTGATTTAAAAATACTACTGACTTACATTTTTAACATGAATTAATTAGTTTTAATTTAATTTGTTTATTCATTTTTTTTTTCTTACAATAGTGTACGACGCAACGGTCAAAACACCTGTTGGCATTGAGAGTGGAATATTACATCAATTTGGCCATTTCGATCAATGTTTGGAGCAAACAAAATACGTGGAAGAAGACTTACCGAAACCTGTAGAAATTCCGGTGCGTGCTAAGTACTGTTTGGCGAATGTGACATTAACTGGGGTGCCGGTCTTAAATATAGCCTCGCGTTATCCGTCGGTAAGCATATAAATTATAAACAAAAAGCAAGTCGTCTTCATGGTAAATAAATAAATTTGCACGAGTTTTTTATTACAAATTTTAATGCATTTTTACGTTTAAGTTGATAATGATATTTATTAAATATTATGGAGCTGTGTGGGCCATTCCATTAAGTTGTTTGTTTGAGATTCGCATCGCTAGAAGGCTAACACCGCATACTAATGAGGTACCAATGTGCTTCACTGACACTTAAGCATGCCGGGCATGTGTCTCCAGTTTGTTTACATTTTTCTTAAAACTTCTGCTTGGAACCAATGTTGTTGTTGTAATTTGGTTCTACGTATCTACAAAATTCTTAAAATTTTTATAAAAATTAACTTAAATGTTAATTGATTTATTAAAGCAAGTGTGAAAAAGTTATTTAATAATTTCATAGAAACGATTTAAAATAATTGAATTAATTTTTTAAATTAATTAATTTTTAAAAATTACAAACTAAAATTTCAAGGTTATAAAGAATTAAAAATATAAAATATATAAAAATAAAAAAATATAAGAAAATATTTAATAATTAAATAGAAACGATTTAAAATAATTAAATTAATTTTTTAAATTAATTAATTTTTAAAAATTATAAAAAAAATTTAAAGTTATGAAGAATTAAAAATAAAAATAAAAAATATAAAAATAAAAATATAAAAAAATATAAAAATAAATATAAATATTTATATCTATATAGAAATAAATTGTCATCGTGTGGAAATTTCCAATATTAGTAGTTTTAAAAATATTTGTAATTATTTATAATTATATATGTATCAATGTTTTTATTCATATAAATTTACTTTCTTAAATAGATATTTTGCAAAAAGTTAGAAAAAAAAATTATTTAATTTATTCACTGAAGACAATTTTGAGTTATTTATTTTTAATTGCTTTACTTTGTTTAATTAGTTTTTTTATCATAACCAGTCTAAAATGGGAGACCCCAAAATACATGTATTTATAATGTATTACAATTTTAGCTGTGTAAACAATGTAATTGAAAACAATGATGAGAATTGGATGCAATTAGATAAGAAATCACTTTAAATATATTATTATAATTAATTGTTATAAAACTTTAATGGTTCAATACACCCTACTATTATTAATATAAATTAATAAAAATTAATAAATAATAATTAAAAATAATTATTTAATAATAATTAATTAATAATAATTAGAAAAAAATTATTAATAATAATTAATTAATAATAATCAATTAATATAAATTAATTAATAATAATTATAATTAATAAAAATTAATTAATAATAATCAATTAATATAAATTAATTAATAAAAGTTAATTAATAATAATCAATTAATATAAATTAATTAATAATAATTAATTATTGATAATTAATTAATAATAATTAATTAATGATAATTAATTAATAATAATTAATTAATGATAATTAATTAATGATAATTAATTAATAATAATTAATTAATGATAATTAATTAATAATAATTAATTAATAATAATTAATTAATAATAATTAATTAATGATAATTAATTAATAATAATTAATTAATGATAATTAATTAATAATAATTAATTAGTAATACTTAATACTTAATTAATACTAATAATTTAATAATTATATAATGTTAATAATTATAATAATAATTAAATAATTGTTAATAAATAACAAAGAAAACTAATTCTTTCATATGTTAATTGAGTTTAAAAAACAAATTTAATAAAGAATTAATATTTATAAAATTTAAATATCTATGAGACTAACTCCTCATTTATGAAATTATTTATGACTATATTGTTGAAAAAAAAATTCTATTCAAATTTAAGTTTCCTTTTTTTGCATCCTATTAGGATAATAGTAACCAATATCTGTTTTCTTATTTTCTCAAATATATTATTATGCTAAAATGTGAAGCACACACAATGTGAATCCCAAAAAATTAAGAAAATTTAAATAAATTTTTTTATAATTTCAAATGGTTTGTAGACAATAAATTAATTCGCAGCTGTATTTCATATCAATAACTTTTATTTTCAATATAATTATTCACTTACATTAGTCTGAAATGATTTTCTTTTTTTATTTTTTTTTTTTGTGTTTCTTTACAAATTTATGACCTTTTCATACTGAAATCCAGAAACATAAAATTGAAACAAAAAAATAATTATTATAATTAACATATAAAAATGAAAATATCATACAAAACACAGCATTAATTTTGTAATAAAGTGAAAAAAACGTAATAGAAACATCATAAACATAACAAAAACATCATAAAAGTTCGATTAAATAAATTGAACGCTTCAATGTCTCGGCGTTTTTCGCATGCAAATCGCTTAATTTTTGCAATCGAAGACCAAAAAGTTTCAAAATAACTCATAATTTATTTATTTTGCTGTGCCAACTGCACTTGGAAATGAATCGAAATGTAAGTTAATGTACGGATTTGCCTATTGCAGCCATTGAACCGATCTGCGCTGGTACACTGGGGCGTATGCGTACCTGCAAGTTGTGACAGCGGCGATGTGGCAACCTTTCTGCAGTTTTTGCTGCAACGCCAACAAATCAAGGTCGACGACAATATGTGTCAACTGCAAAGCAATGACTTGGTCGTCACTAACGGAATGTTTATATATGCGTAAGTACCGCGTTTAATACTTGACTAATAGAGTTTAATGAACTTCATATGTATCTACAGATACAACAAACTAATATGTATGTAAATATTGTTAACCTTAAGACAATTGTTGTTATTATTGACAAATGCAAATAATTTTTTTTTTTTTTTATTTTGATATTTTGCTATTATAGTGGCGTTATATTATTTATTTTACTTCTGGCTTTTTTGAGTACAATTTATCATATCAATCTTATATGGAATACGAAGCAAAATAATGGCATCACAAAAACGGGCATCAATAATGACACACTAACTACGGCTTTGCTATCCTTTTCCATAATTGGTTTGTCAAACTAATTAAACTATCTTTATTATATATAATATCATGTAATAAAATTTACAGAGAATCTACGCAAAATCTTTCAATGCAGTAAGGATCAACTGGGACTGAATTCCATTAATGGCGTTAAAGCGTTGGCTATGATCTTAATACTTATAGGGCATGCAGGTGTTTTTATTATTGGTGCACCGATATCTAATCTCGACTTTGTAAAGAAGGTATTTCCATTGATTAACTACATTTAAGCTTAAACTTTATAATGATTTTTATTTTTTTACAGGAACAAACTTCTTTAAAATTTCCGTTTTTATTTAATTCTCTCTTATTTGTCGACTTATTTTTATTACTCAGCGGTTTCTTATTTTGCCGCATTTTACTAATAGAGCTGGAACGTAGGCGTGGTAAATTGAATGTGTTAGTATTGTATATTGCAAGATTCATACGCCTAACACCAGCTTATATAGTCGTAATTGGATTTTATATGACTTGGTTACCAAATATTGGTGATGGTCCGATATGGAAGCAACGTATACAAATCGAACAGGAACGTTGTCAGGAATCTTGGTGGCTTAATATTTTATATATAAACAATTACTTCAATACGAATAGTTTGGTAATTATTTTTGTTATAATATATTATAATTAAGTGTATTTAACATTTTTTAATATATTAACATTTTAAATTTATATGTGCATATAACAATGTGATCAAAAGTGAAATGATACAACACTGTTTAAAACTCTGAAAATCTGTATTTATACTTCTATATTAATTGTGAATTTATTTAAAGTACTCCTCTCTTGATGCAATACATGTATGTCAGTGTTTTCTCGAATCCTAAAAACAATTGTTAAAGTCGTTTTTTGGAATGCGTTTTAACAGAAGGTATCAATATGGTATTGATCCACTCCATACCAATGTCGAAACGGTATTCCTAAAGATGTCTCATGAGCTAAGAAATATCCAAAAGATACAAGGTACTAAATTTAACGAAAGCGATAGTTGTAAGATGATATGAGATGAATTTTTAAAGAAATGCCCTCGAAGATCTTATCCAGTGTTTGAGAACGTGAATTATTATATATATTTCTTATCATTAAATTATATATTTTTTTATCATCAAAATACTAGTGAAAAGTACATTAAAGTACTTTCTATCTGTTTTGAAAAAATCCTGTAAAGTTCATTACCATGGACTTACCATGTCTAAGGAATTTAAAATATTGGATTATTTTTGCATTATTTTGAAACTAGCACATGAGGTGAATATGGCTAGATCTATATTAAAGATTTGAAATGCTACCGATATTAACAGAAAAAAATAACTGAAGGTGAAGGAGGATAGGATATACACTAAGTACAAATTGCAATGAAATTGCAATAAAAGCTAGCAAGTGCTAGTCGTTAGCACAAAAAATAAAAAAACAAATTTTAAGATAATTTATGGGCATAAAAATTTCTATTGAATGCCATTAGTGCCAGTACTCACAACATTAGTGCCAGTAATTGGCTTCAAGTTTATTATCTTATTTTTTAAAAAAGAGGTTTCTTCGTACAGTAGTGAACTACAACAACAAAAATCCATTTTATTCATCTTATTTTTTCATATAATAATATATTAAAAAAATTTCTTTAAAATAAATTACAGATTCGCTTTAGGAAATTCCAAAGGCATTGCTTCAAAAAGATTTCTAGCGGATATTGATCTTAGATGAATATAAAAGATTGGGACATATGATTAAGACAGACATCGAAAGGATCATGTCACCACATTATTTTATCCCACACTATTGTGTCTTTAAACCTGGCAGTATCACTATTAAGTTACGTGTGGTATTTGACACCTCATCTAAAACATCAAATTGTTTTTTAGTCTTTAATTAACGAATATATATATACAAAATTTAATTTTCATATACATATATATAAATATAGTGAAAGAGCTGTTGAAATTGATGGTCTTATGAACTTATATCTTTCTTAACCATGTAATTACTTTAAATAATTTTGTTGACAAAATCTGTTGCTGGTCCCGTATATATACACACATAAATCAATTAAATATATATTTAAAAATTATTAGGTATTGTTTAATTGTTGACTTTGTTTTCTAGTGCATGTTTCAATCCTGGTACCTAGCTGTTGATACACAACTATTCTTCCTGGCGCCCATTGCAATATATATGCTCTATAAACTACGTAAATATGGTGTACGTTTTCTAGCTGTTATGATTGCAATCACATCTGCCATACCATTTTTCGAAACATTTCAACATAAAACGGATCCAACATTTATGGTTTATCCAGAGTATGTATATAAAACTTATATTCCATAACATATAGAAGTGTTCATAGTATATATGGAATTAACACTAATATTTTTTATAATATGTTTAACAGGGAAATTGCTGATATATCACTCAATAAATATTACAACAAGTTTTATATTAAGACGCATATGCGGGCTTCTGCTTATGTTTTGGGGTTATTAACTGGATATTTAGTACATCGCATGCAGGAGTCAAGGTATGAGAAAAATAAAAATCATATTACTTAAAATAATTCTACTGAAATAAATTATATTAAACTTTATTTAATATAGCTATAAATTGCCAAAATTATTTGTGAAAGTCACTTGGATAGCTTCAACGATAATTGGTGTAGCATCTATGTATAGCATAACTCGTTTCTATATAGCTCCTTACAATTTACTGGAGACTGTTTTATATGCTGGTTTACACAAAATTGGTTGGAATTTATCAATAGCATGGTTAGTATTGGCAACTACAACTGGACATGCTGGCTGGTTACAAAGTTTGTTGAGTCAACGTTTCTTTGCTCCAATAAGTCGACTCGCCTACTGCGCTTACTTATGCAATGGCATTGTAGAACTTTACTTTACAGCACTCACACGTACTTCGGAGTATAAATCTGTTTTAATAATGGTTAGAGATATATAGAGTTTTATTGGGAAATGTGTTTTATTTATAATTATAATTTCAGCAAAATCACATACTTGGTCACGTCTTCACTACATTTTGCCTAGCTTTAGTGCTGTGCGTACTCTTTGAATCACCCATCCATGCACTTGAACGAATTTTATTGCGAACGAGTAGAGTTAAAAAGGCTGGCAGCGAAACTACGGAGCAAACTGACAGCAGTAATACCGGTACTCCAAATAGTTTGGAAGAGTAGTGGTGAAGTAGGAATAAGTAGAGAACGGCTTATTTTAAAGTCCATATAAATGCTAATTAGGAATACTCTTTTTGTGATACATTTTTATAATATAAAATATATTATATATATTAATTTTCATATTATTATACTTATTTGGTATATTGTTTTTTTTTAACTTTTTTTAAATTTTTTTTTAGACTTTTAAAAAATGACTTGCCAAAATGTTACTTTACAAAATTGGTTATAAACTCCCATATATGTATGATACGTGTATATAATTTAAAACAAACATTTTATTATACTTACATTAATCTAAAAGTATATAAAACAAATGTATTTAAAATTTTGCGAAGGAAATACAAAGAAGCTATGTACTGATTATAATGTATCCGGAATAATTTCAACAAAATTTTTTTTAATAAGCAAATAAGCATCAATATCTATATTGCTAAGATACATTACACTTACCTTTTGCTCAAAATATATCTAGAATAATGTAAATCATATCATATTAAAATTAGAAAACATACATTTCTTTTGATGTTACTTACATACAATATTTTTGTTTTAAGTTCAAAAAGTAACCGGAATAATTAAAATATTTGTGATTATAATTGTTATACTTAATGAATTGGCACAGCGACATAGACAGTGGCGTAACTACAGGGAAGCAACTGGAAGCAACGCTTTCGGGCCCCCGAATTTAGGGGGCCCCACTGTAAATGTTTGTAAACGTTTTTTGTTGGAATAACTTCATATTGCATTTTATAAAAGATACGTACATTTTAAATTTAAAGTACATAATATGTATGTACTTCAAATAAAATATTAAATCTATTTATAAAATAAAAAAGTTTTTCTAAGAAAAGTATGTGTCTTAATCGAGAGTTTATATGGAAGCTATATCTAGATTTATACCCATTTGAAAATAATTTTGTACGTTGTCTTTTGCAAATATCAGTACTGTATACACTAAATTCTATTTAAATACCTTTATTAAAAACGGATAAACCTCATATCCGATTGTTAAGTTTATATCACAGCTACAAGAAATAGACGTCCAATTTCAATCAAATCAAATGGTGAACAGGGTCGGCTAAAAGTGTGTGTGTAAAGTTTTATTCGAAGAGTTCAAAAGCTGAGAGAGTAGTTTGAACTGATACTGTACTGATATATACTTAATGGTATTTCCGACGTTTCCTTTAATACGTTACGAAAATCTTGACAAACCTTATATACCCTTTTCACATTTTTCGTGTAAAGAGTGTAAAAAGAGGGGCCCCTTAGTATGTTGATAGGGGCCCTTTAGTTAGAATTTGCTTACAGGCCTAAAAAATGTAGTTACGCCACTGGACATAGACATCTATAGTGCTTCCTTTATTGACTTAGAATATTTCTTCAGTAGTATTTAACCTTTATTACAAAGTTTTAAATCTTCATACGATATGAGATGCCCACATATCTATGTACTTCATTGATTTATACATCAAAGCAGGGCAAACAACCTTACACACGTTTACAGATCTTCTCTTCCCTACAAGATCTACAAGTTTCATTAACGTAAGTACCCTGTCAGAATTCCTGATATTTAAAATAATTTTTCTTAGCAGCATACAATACTTGAACCATTTCAAATTTAAAGTCTTTAAGAACAACGATTGTTTCAGCCCTGTTAAATTATTCCGTAAAAATCTTTTGGTTAAGTGACTAAAATTTCATTTTGATATTATTAATATACAAAGACCTTATATTCTGTTCAAAAAGTATTAGAAATAATGTAAACCAAACTCAAAACATAGAACTGACTTTCTATACGAAATGTATTCGGAATTATGATAAATCAAATCTTCTATTTCAGTTTAAGAAATAAGTATATCATTTTCTATTAATTGTATATAAATAGCTAAAAGTACTCAGAATAATGTATCTTAAACTCTAATATATATGGTAGATGTTTGTTAAGGAAATAAATATTTCTTTTGGTAATACTGATACGCAAGTAAATTTTTATCATCTTCAATATAATATCCATAAGATTTAATACATAATTCCATATTAATTCCAGTCTTTCAAATTTTTATTTCCTGAAATGTGAAAGCTGTAAAATTTTTCTATGAATTTGAAATAATCCGCAGTATTACGTTCTTTGCTTTTGAAGAAGTAATAGTTTTTGTACTGATCTGTACTGAGTGGTATATCTCTTAAAAAATATTATGAGTTATACTTGTTTAATTAATTACAAACTATTAAATATATCTATTAAAAATCACAACTAAATATTAGTTGTAACAACGATACTATAATACATAATATATAACGGATGATAAGGAAGATATTAACTGTGGTACTAATGTGAGGAAATAATTTATAATCTATATTTTACATATATCTTTATATATAACAATTTCTAAATACATTTTGAGCAAAGCGTAAATATAAGTACATATTTAAAATTTGTAAAATTTTTAATTAATATTTGAAATTAAATTATTTATATTTTATTTCTTAAACAAATGAGAAACCAAATTAGTCTTAAAGAAAGTTTTGGTATATCGTGAGCGTTTATTTCACAAGGAATGCATATATATATCTATATATGATAAATAGAAATATATAAAAATAAAATTGTTTTCTAATTTATGTAAATATTAGGTGGTTGAAGTTATTAGTTGTATAATATTTTAATTAAAAAATTTATTTTTTACAATTTTTTAAATTTAAAAAAGAAAGTATAATGCCGACATTTTTGGTTAAGAAAAACTAAGAAATTAAATTTAAATATTTAAAACTAAAATTATGAAAATTTGTTTTTAAAAATAAAAAAACATTTTTAATTTTAAGCAATAAATTTTATTTAAAAAAAACTTATTATCATTTTTTAATTAATACATTGTATAATACAATTGATAAGGTATGGAAGACTTAACATAAAATAATTAAAAAATGCTGAGTATTATATATAAAAAATAAGAATAAAAATTTATAATTAAAATAAAGAAATTTAATTTAATTAAATATTGTAATTTTTAATTAAAAATTAGGAAAATATTTTTATTAATAAAATAAAATTATTTAATTAATTATTTTTATTAATAAAAAATGTGAAACACAGTGAAAAATTATAGATTTAAAATACAGTAAATGTATTATATCCAGTTACTCGTAGAGGAGTACAGATCTATGAAGTAAACACATGTCTTTTAAATAAACTCTTTGAATAACTTATACTTGTATGTATAAAATTAAGATATATTAATTTTAATTAGAGTTTGTTGATACAAATTATTTTAATGCTAAAATTAAATAAACCACTTATCAGACCACATATAGACAGTGTTTTGGATCACGACTAATATAAAATTGTGTTAAATGGGCTTAAATTGTAGCCCAACAATTCCAATATGTAATTTAAAATAATCTTCGACTTCACTGTATTGCAATTGCTGTCCAAAACAAAAAATATATTAAATTAAATTTCATAATAAATTTAGTGTAAATTAACCTTAATTGTATAAAAACTATTTTATAATTATTAAGGTGTCGATATAAATTCAATAATTCGCCAATCGTTCGGGGTAAAAGTCAGGAAGTTAGTAATAAAAAAAAAATAGCTGTTTTTTTTCTTACAACTCTCCAATGGGTCTCTCTTCTCTCATTAATATATTTTCTTCAAGAAAATAATTTTCTCATAGAATTTTGCCAAATTAAGAATTACATGATTAATCATCACTTATCGGTCTACGTCTGCGTGTATATGTTGGTTTTGTTTCTTCAATCACTGGTTTTTTAGTTGAAATTATCGGAGACTTTTTCACTTCTTCAGCTTCAGTAATATCTACTTCAACTTCCTCTTCCTCCTCCTCCTCCTCCTCCTGTTCTTCTTCTGCTACCTCTTCTTTAGTTTCAATTTCGTCTATCTGATCTGTAGTATTCGCTTTTGTTACAATCGATTCAGAGTTTATTGTTGAACTACGACGACGTGTAAGATATTTTAGTTCTTCTTCTTCTGGATCAGAAGCCCAAATTGTTTCTGACGGTTCAGGTGTGTCACTAACTATTTGTTCACTAGGCTCTTCAGAAGCTTCCGACTGTGAAGTTGGTTCCTGCTCTGTTTGTATACGTTCTCTAAATAAACGATTAACGAGCAAACGACGTATTTGATTTGTTGGTATATCGACTATAAATGCTAGCATAATAGCATAGAACAAAATGAAACCAATTTCATTAATATTTATCTAAAAAATAAAAATAAATATTTTAAATAAATGAATTTTATTTAATTGAAAATACACTTACCAATTCAAGCATATGAAATTTTTGTGCCTCTTTAACGCTAGCCGTGTTATAAAGCACAACCACATACATAACTAATTGAATCGGAAATGTTATACGAGACAAAAATATTATTGGACGTGAATTTGTTAAGAATCCTAAAACTGATTTTTCCATTTTTGGAAACATAAATATTAGCCAACATATAGCTAATCCAAGTATTAATGGACTCCATGCCGCATATGAAGCTGCATTATTGGGTGTGTATATATAACTTCCAGTCATACCGGTTGATGGCGCCCAGAAACACCATACTATACCTAATATGGCTAGAATCCAACCAAATGGTATAAGATTTGTTGCACATTGTAGGCTACCATATTCAGAGCGATGCAGTAAGCCAGCTCCAATACCTAGTAAATAGGGTGTCGCTCGACTTATGGGCGAAGAAAATAATATATTGGCAGTTCGGTAGAATTTGCTTACACTATAAAATAGGATATTAAAATTTTATGTTAAAAATTTATTTACATGTATATTTGTAATATCATTGTTTTAAAACATTAAAATTTTTTTTAAATATACAGAATGTCGTCTAAATAAAAATTAATTAATTTACTTAATAGAAAGTATAGCATTTAATAGAAAGGTTTGGAACAGGTTTGAATTGCAACAACAAAAATTTTTATTTATTTTCAGTAAAGTGAATTTCAACTGTTTTGAGTATTGTCAAATATCCATCATCAGTGGTCTTGGAATTATTTCTTATATTTAATTATTCGTAAATAATTTTTTTGAGACTGCAAGTACAAAGAGTTGAAGTTGTGCCCTACTGAATTTGAAGCTTAGAGTCAGTATTCATTATCCGACTGATTCAAAACTGTACTTAACTTATGTGTTCGAACATGGAGTTTTGTTAATTTGCTATGAATGTCCATTAACAAATAATTGAATTAATTAATTATAATTAGTTTTTAAATGTTAAATTTCAACACCATTCTTTTCAATCAAAAATCTAACTAATTAAAAATAAATAAAAATTTTTGTTGTTGCAGTTCAGTACTGTTCAGTACTTAATATAAGAAAAGATATTTTGTAAAAAATAAAAACATATTTAAAATTTGTGATGTTAACTTACTTAATTCCATGAAATAACGTAACAGATAAATGCTCTCTATTAGTTCTAGAAAATCTAGCTGCTACAGACATAGCATGTATGGCGCCATAAGTATAAAAAGCAGCATCAGAATTGGTATAATATAGCCACACAATAAGTGGTCCAAGTAAAAATAATTGCACTTCCAATGCAAATGAAATAGTCATAGGTGAACACTATAAAATGTCTATTTTATTAAAATCTAATTATTTCTAAACAAATCTTACTGTTTCCTCGAAATCTATCGCATTCTGTACACTAAATACGTTTCTCCACATCTGCTGCTCACATAAGCGTGAATTCTGTCCAATTAAGTTAGTCCATAGAGGTCCGGAATTTAAATGTGGAAGTATCCAAGTTTGAAAAAGAATTACCACAAACAATGTTGGTAGATATCTTTAAATAATATTTTCAGATTATTTGCATAGAATTATATAGAAAATATATTTACCTACAAATTTTTGATACCAGACATTTAAGTAACTGTATATATGATTTTTGTTCCATTTCAGAGGATAATTGATATGCTGAGAAGAAACCACCGATTAATAGCAAAATGTCTGCATATAAAAGTGGTGCGCGGAACATAATGCTAAATGGATGATCGACAGCGCGAACAAGTTGATCACGATTTGTAATTGGCAAGTGTCCAATCATAAGGTACTTCAGACACACATATAGCATGAAGGTGGCGCCAAGCTTTAACACGTGCAAAATGGGAAAATCTGTGTTTTCTTCAGAGAGTAGCACTGTGAGTGTACGCCTCGGTGAAAATGATTTGATAATCTCTTGCAGAAATTGCTTAAATGATGCACCTGTAAAGCGACAAAAAATTTAAGAAGAATTTAGCGAAAAATGTGATAAAATTTAATATTATATATATATGTAAGTATATAAATATATATATATATATATATATTTAGCGTATTATTATTAAATATTTAATATGGAAAAGAAACTTAAAGATGGTTTTAGGATAGCTTTTAGCAAAACTTACTGTGTTCATAAGTCGTATCGGAACTCGGAGCTGCAGTGGCATTTACTACTTCATCCGTATTATTCTCATTTGAATTTGTACCTTCCGGTCTAATATTATTGCTGTCAACTTCATCATCAACTTCATTGTTTTCAGTTTTAATATTTTCATTAGGCCCTCTTAAATTTTTCAAAGCTTCTAGTATTTTATTGAAGATAGACCTTTGCTCATATAGCAAAGAAATAAAAACTAGTAGTGCTAGTGATGATATACATACACTAAAAAATTATATTTTCTCTATATATGAATATCTTTTTAAATTTAATGTTCTTACACTGTCATAGCGAATTTCTTATCCTTCTCCATCAGTTTTGTCCATTTTCTACTTTGACGTATATAACAATCGTTATCATTCACCTCAACATGAAACTCAATACCGGTTGTGTTGTAAGGTCTTAAGTTGGTTTCAATCATTTCCTGTACCACTTCAGCTGGACATGAATGTGGTATACAAACACCCCAATTCGCAACAGCGTAACGTGGTACAAAATGTCCAGGCTGTTAAAAAATGTAATAAATTATATATACAAAAAAAAATTAATATATTATTGCGACAATCTAAGAAATTTTCTATGAGTTTTTTTTTCTTGTATATCTATCAATATATACATATACATATATGGACTGAAATATCTAACTCTTAATCTCAAAGGTATATGAATAACCTTTTCTATTAAAAACAAAATCATGGAAAGGATTTAAAATAAATTCAGTGATATGTTAACTATAATAGAAATTACAACGGAAAATGAAGTGAATGAACCACGTAATGAACATTTAGAAATTAAAAGAATTCACCTAACAACACGTGGAGATAATAAAACACCCGAAAAACGGCTTGAACTTAAAGGATCAAAATACAATGCATATGACACATTAGAACAACGTGAAGCAAAGTGCCCAGGACAATATTAATAATTTATATCTTATTCATTAGAATCTATCACTTCTACATTTATATATATTATCTACATTAGAATAACACAAAACATTTAAATATGTCATTTAAAGCATATTATAAGAAATCGTTATAAGTGGACTTTAAGCTATATACATATATATGGTATATATATGTATACTTATATGGCAAAAATTTAAATCATTTTTAATACATACATTTCCAAGATGACTATTCCAAAGTTCACGTGCATGCGCTAAATAAACTGGTAGCTTAAGTTCTGATACATCAGTCTGTGTCTCAATGTGAGCTAAGCAATATTTGCCTCTTATACGCATTGGTATGTCAGAAGTAACCTTAACTACTGTCCTGATTTGTGTACATAAATCGAAATCCCCAAACTGATTAATATTGCCTCGTAAAATTCCTGATGATATCTTGCCAGTTGCATCTAGCACTGAAATCAAATATTAAATATAAGTTTAATAATAACTATAAATTATATTAATAGATATATATAACATTGGTCTATGAAGTTCAATATATTTTCAAATACTTGACGAGTAGTTTAAAAAATGTATTATAAGATTAATTACAAAAATATATGATAAACTAATATTAAAATTTATTATTCAAGATAAGCTATAGACTTTCAAATATATTTGTTAAATAGATTTATATAAAAATTTTAATATAAAATTTCATTTTATATAAAAATGGATCACTATACATCAACATTGTATATAGTGCTGCTTGAAATAAGTTTCCGATTTAAACTTTTATGTCTACAGTTTATTTTGGCATCACTTTGTATATCACAGTATTGTTCTCAAAATTTACTGAAGATTGCGGTTAATCGGGAAAAATTTGGGATATAATCGGGACTTCGTTGGCGAGATATATTAAACTAAATGAAATTGGTTAAAATAACTGATTTTGTTCCCAGAAAAGCATATATATTCTGTAAGTCCACCAGCTAAGAACTCTAAGTTCCCTAAAAATGCCTATATCTGTACTCCTAAAGTATGCTAACTATAATAACACCGACAAAATCTTCTTATTTCTAAGAAAATTTAAATCGTACGGGATAAAGTTCCGCAGCAGAAATAAATTTATTATTTTAAGTAGTGTTAAGTTATACGATATCAGTTAGATAAGGCCTTAGTAGTAATGACCTTTAGTAAAGATATTGTTTGAAAAAATTTGTTTGGTAGTTGTTAACTAAAGGGACGTCAAAACATTCATTTCAGTAACTCTTCAGCCAAGGGCGTTCTATTCGTTATTCGTACGGATGACTCTTTTGTATGATTAGGGTCAGTTGTGGTGCAAAAAAACTACAATAGATTCAATGCGCCGCTTTCCTTGAAGCCACATTCCCTATTTAATTCTACTAATATTGTGTTATACTAATTATTATATTTGATCAATGTATTTTTAAATAAATTGTTGAATAAACTAATATAAAATAATTTACAGTTTGAACTTACTTTGCAATGTCCATAGTTTATTTCCACGCAATTGACGATGAAAAATTTGCATGTGCTGTCGACATTCCGTATTGCTTACATGCGAAGCATTTACCACGAAACCTGGTAAAGTATGTAACAATGATTCAAAATGTTCCTGGCTCATGGGTAAAACTTCTGCTGAAGAATCATCACCATTTTGCTTAATAGAATTCTTTTGTCGCGGCATTGATACTGGTTTTGGCTGTTTACCAATTGGAAAGAAACTATTTATTGGCCACCGATCCAGATACATCCACCAACTATCACCAGTAGCTTTTATTTTTTCCTTTTCCTCAGCAGCATTCAATTTACCCAACTTCACACCTAACCATTTCAACCAGTCAATTATACTGTTCGATTTTTCCTCTACGGATTTACTATGCTTTTGTTTCTTCTCATTCTTCTTTTGTGTATCTTGTTTTTCTTCTTTATCACTACCAAAAAAGCCACCGAATATACGACTAAGAAATGATTGAGATTGATCGAAATCTATTTCTGAAGAGTCTCTTTCGTCTGAAGTACTTGTCTTCACTCTCTTTTCTCGGCTTTGTTTTTTTGGTGCTCGATCATCCTTCTGCGCATTGCGCACACGCTCGAATGGCACATCGTTTTCATCTGATAAGTCCTTTTTTATACTTTTATCAACATCGATGTCGTCATCATCACCGTAATTCTCTGTATCAACGAAAACGCGTTCTATTTTTCGAAATTTAAATTTTTTTTCAAGTGCACGATGTTTTGTTAATTGCTTTCCATGCTCACCGCTATCATCGTCCCCATCAAATTTAAACCCAAATTCTTGGGTATAATGTGGAAATATCAATAAACAGAATATGGTTAATAGCAGATATATACTATTGGAAAAATTTTTAGTAGCCTGCATGTTCACTTTTCATAGGAATGACGTAAACATTTGTAGTAGTACCTAGATTAGCTCTTTCAAACTATGTCAAATATACAAGATGTTTTTATAAACCTCCATATAATTTTTTATATATAATATTTTGGTCGTACTAATTGATCAATAATAATTCTGTTTATAATAATAATTTTTTTTTCAATTAAATATTATTTTATTATTATTATTAATTTATAAAAATTATAACAATTTTTTATAATCAAGCAGTGTAATTATTTTTGCAAGTTACGCCCGGAAACATAATTTAATTAATTTTTTTTTCGTTCGTTTCTAAAAATATGCACTAAATCTGTTCGCAGACCCACTTTTTCGGCGCACAGCTAAGCGACTTCTTAGTAGTTCGAAATATTCGCGGAGACTGAGCAAAATATAATTTTTTGTTAGAAATATGCAAATCTTCGAAATATTTTTTAAAAAATATACAAAAATTTTGTTAAAACTATGCTCATTGCTGAGAATTCATCTCAGGGAACAAAACTATTTATAAAATAGCGTCTACCTATTTTTAACAAAATTATTTGTTTACATTTCTTTTCAGTATTTCGTATTTTACCACTTCGGTAAATAATTACAAAATACTTGAAATGCATGCCACATGTTATAATGCATTTATCATGGGCGGTTCAAAAAATACCCATGAAAGGTTCTTAAAAACAAATCTATTTAACATAAATCATTTCGAAACTAATTCAAATTTTTAATTTATCTTCTTAATTTTAAAAGTAAGTACAAAATTAAACATTAAATTTATTGATATTATTTATATATTTATTCAGTGTTGTTGAACAAATACTCTTTTATACCGTTCAATCCCGGTACGAAGAGGGATCAAGAGCGATCAAATACAAGAAATTGGATCGAATAACGATAATTTTGTCGAATTCCACTTTATGTCTTATAAGTCAGAAAAGAATTGTATAATTGTTTATATTAGAATTATTATTATTATAGTTATATAGACAACAAGATACTGCTAAATAGATCTCTGGTGCACTGCTTAAAGTACTACATGCGTCAACTTTATATGACCCCAAATGTCAATGTAATCGTCAATGTAATCGCCAACTCATTTCAAAACAGTGCTTTGAAAGTGTTTCTTTGGTGTTTACCAAAGAAGCTAAAGAAGAGAAACTAAGAGTTATTCAAAAAATTCATCATTCTATGTAACATAATGAAACGCAGTATAAAAACAAAAAGCCTAATGGTACACAATGATGATCATTTTCCCCACCCGATGTTGAATTTGTTAATAAAACTTTCACAGCAAATTAACAAAACTCCAGAAAAATGAGCGAACATAAAAAATAAAGTACGGCTTTGGATCGGTCAGTTGGTTAAGGTGCGCTGACGTTGAGCTTCAAATTTGGCAGGGCACGAGTTCAGTCCCTGGTATTTGCAGTCTTAAATAATGATTTACTAATAATTAAATACAAGACCACTGATGATTAGAATTTGGCAATACTCAAAACAGCTGTATGGTCAAATAAACATTATATTAATATCAAAATAATTATTGTTGTTGTTCAAAACTTCTCTATAATAAAACTCACTACTGTTCAAAACTTCTCTATAATAAATTAATAATAATAAATTTTTTATATTGCATACATACAGGTTGGCTTCTAAAACAAAAATAATTAAAATTATAAAACAAATTTTTTATACTAAGTTATAAATAATAATAATTTTTTTTAATAAGATCAAGCTGTATTTGCTTCAATTTTATTTAAATTAAACTAAATTTAAAAAACCACTCATATTTTAATATTAATGTAATTTTTCATGCGATACAATAATATAATATTGCTATATAGAAAATATGTCTAACACATATATATTTTTGAACAATCTAGAAATTAATTTATTTTATATTATTTAACTATTTTTATATTATATTTATTTAAATTGTATTTCATTTTATAATAAGTAAAGTTAATTAACTAAATACAATATAACAATAAAGAACATTTAAATTTAACATAAATTTTTGATTTTTTAATTATTATATGATTGTTTTATTCGTATATATATGTATCATTGTAATTGTATAATCACTTTAAATAAATATTAGATAATTATATAAATATGAAAATTTTTTATAGTTAATTGTATAAACTCAAAGCACAACTATTTTTGATTTTTCATGTATGAAATTTTATACATAAAATATATGTATAATTATATATAAAATGTACACATTTTTTTTAGCAATCTAATTCCATTAATATCAGTGTATTTGTTCGATAATAAATTTTAATTATAATGTTATAATATTATAAAAAATAATTACAAATTTCAAATCACAGTTATATGAAATACCATTACAACATTTATTTTAAATTATAATTTTATAAAAAATAAATAATAATTATAATAATAGTGGAAATGACTGTTTTTAATATATTATTTTTTTTTTAATATATATAATTATATATTAAATATAATTTTTTGATATTCCAGAAATATTAAATTGATACTAAGTATCTTTAATAGACAATATTTAAATTCATCTTTGTATTCTAATACATTTAATCAAATACAACTTTATATACTAGAAGAGAATAATTATATCATAAAGGTATAGCCTACACTCCATACAAAGATTTAAATTGCTTTATACAATGTACCCAATTAATGTCCTCATAGAAATATAACATTTTATAAGATTAAATTTATACTATCAAATTATAAATTAATATCATAACTTTAGATAATAAATTAATTGAATAAATGTGTTGAGTTTTCATTAAACAGTGACGGACCATAATAGTACCAGTCAAAAGTATTATGTTCTATCAAAATTTGTAGTGATTTCGCCATTTCGCCTCTTATGTGATTTTTATATGAGTAACCTTGTATGTACGGTTTCGGTGACAGCATTCGGACGTCGTGATTATAAAATTTTTTGGATCCAAATTTTACATATTTTAATATCTGATTGTAGTTATTCTCTGTTATTGATGTTGGTATTAATCCGATAGTGTTACCTAAAATATCTTGTTCAGCATATTTAAAAATACTAAGTGGAATTGGTTTGTATGGTCTTATGTCAGTAGAAATATTAGTGCCGTTCCTTAGAAAACATAGAGCCAGAATAATTTGTGTATTATTTAAATTATATTTTAAAAGCTCTTTATTCCGGTATGATGGAAAAATTGTACCAAATGACCGCATACCATATAGACATAAGTTATTAATATAAGAACCATATATTTTACTATTAAAAGAAGAATAGTATTCTTTAATGAGTACATCTTCATTGACAGTATTTAATAACGATACAGCATTTATGATATCACAGACTTCTTCATAGTCAATTAAATATTTATTTTTCTCACTAGCAGTAGCAACAAAATCTAGTTTCGAACCAATATTCTTAAGTTCAAACCGTCCCACTACAATTAATAAGTTGAATTAAAAATAAATAGGATTTCATACGAAACAACTAACAAAAATTCTCTTAGTTGGCTGCAAAAGAAATTGACAAATATATTTTTAATATCATAATATTATATTAATCTTCAGATAGTATAGTATATATACAACAGTTTTCTAGTTTTTGGAGGAATAAGAGCTATAGCTTTTATTGACATCATTACTTCAACTAAACTTAATTTGTGGCTGACTTCTATTATCGAGTTTAAACGGGTAGATTAGCACCGTTTGGACAACATATCAACGACTGTAGGTAGTGGACTTGTTATTTTCAAATATTTAAAGGAAAAATTGGACCGGTTTCCATTCGCTAAACTCATTTTGCTGATTTTTTCGTGTATCTAATATTATTGATTCATATTCTTCATATAGCTGTGATATTCAATTCATTCATCTGTAATCATTTGCTGTGGCAAACTTGAATCCTCAATCTTGAATTTTGAACTTCACTAGAGTAACGCTTACCTCATTAGTTCAAGATTTTGGAACCGGTCCATCGCAAGATTTGTTGTTTGTGAAGATTTGTTGTTTCACTGAAGTAAAGGTTTTAGCCTAAGTAGACCACGAAGTGCGGTCAGAAACAATGATGCATTCTCTCCATATGCCATTTGACACTCATCACATATTTCCACGAAAGTAAGGTTATATTTCGATTAAATAGGAATGGCAACCGAATCTCTTGAGGTATTCAATACGTTTACGGTATTTTATTCATTTTAACTCCTTGCCATTAAACTTTAAATGAAAAATCTAAGAAATAAACTTTGCCAAATCAGCTGGTATTTCTTTAATTAATCAAAAATTTAGTCCATGTTAACGTCAACTAAGTGAAGTTTTGTTAGTCCCCTCATATAATCATTAAAATTAAATGAAATCGTTATACTTACATATGGTAGCTTGATCACGGTACACATCTAATAAATAATTATGTTCTGGAAAATCCTTTATTGAGTCCAAAATAGTGCATACTACTTCACAAAGCCTTGAATGAATATCTTTTAAGAAATCTAAATGCATTATACAAATAAATGCGACAGTAGAACTATAACAACCCTCGTCCGTGCGTAACATTACAGCGCAATATTGTCGCTGTTGTATTTCGTAATATGATCCAAAGATTATGATGGGAATACGCCAATGGTTTGCAAGACATTTCATTCGTAAAGCAGCGTCAAAATCTTGTGAACAAGACATGTGAAATAATTGTCTAACAAAAAAACAAAAATTTTTGACATTAAAATTAAATTAAATTTATTAATTAAAATTTTGTTTACAACAATTAGTGTTTATTGTAATTACCAAGAAATTCGAAAACGAGTATACGTGTTAGGATGTGAAGTTTTGAGTGTAGGGAAAGAAGAGAAAGGGTTTTGGAGGATATGTGAGAGATGAGGGTGTGGGCTGTGCTGATTAAAAAAGGTACTTAAGGTGATGAACGTGACCGGTTTAGTACATGGCTATATTCTGACCTAAAATTACGAAGAACAGTTCTTGGCGCACGCGATAAACCGTGGTCTCTTAGAAGATACTGCTACGGAAGCCAGTTAATCTTTATTTGTATTTCACTACAAATAATGTTAGTTCCATTACAACAGGTGTCTCTTTATCCACAATAGGATTAATGTAACAACGGATATGGCATGAAAGACGCTTTAACTAATCATGATGCTTTAAATAAATTGATCTTCGATACTGCCGATTAAATGTCGCATCCTTAAGTCAAAGCTGGCTGTCATAACCTCAATTAAAAAAAAATATATCGATTCGATTCTGATATTGTTCTGCTAATAACATCGTTTTTTTCAGTTTTTAGTTTACGATTTAGTTTCCAGTATATATTTATTATGTATTTGAAAAAATATAGTTAACGATTTGTTAAGGAAACAGTTTGTTAAGGAAAACAAACTTCTTCATTATAAATGAAAACGATTTTTAAACTTTGAACTTTTATAATTAAATTTTAATATTTATAGAGCAATATAAGAGAAATGCATTTACCGAACCCTACAATACTCAACTGAAGGCATTACTTCTGCCAAATTGAACGAACATTACACCAGATAGCTAATATCTGGTGACAACACTTTTGTTCATACCTCATCAAATTGGAATTAAAATTTTTGGCCATATAATAAGAAATCTATTTTCAATAACAAATGGGAAATGGGACAAAAATCTGGATACGAACACAGGAATTCGGATATTACCAAAATTAACAGTATTTAATGGCTGGTACTTCGGACACACGCTATTATTAAATAGTTAGCTTTATAAGTGTTACTAAATTTTTTTGATAGTACCAATTAACATTATAATGTTATAGACTAATGTGGAGTTAAAAAAATATATATTTTTATAATAACTTTTTGTTAGATAATATTTTTAATTACCTTTCCGAAAACTTTGTCCACTGGACCTCAACACGTTTTCCACGAATATTAACGCCTTGCAACTTTTGCTTAGCCTCCACAGCTGATTTATGATTTGCAAAAATTATAAAACCGGTTGAAAGTAGTTTTGAAACCCTACATATATTCTCCGCTGGTATATAATTTTGTAATAGTTCATGAAGGCTTCGAGAATTTAATGTTAAATCAACATTTTTTATAAATAAAGATTTAGACTGCAAAATATTAAACAAATTATTGAAAAACCAAATTGGAATATATTACATACATCATATACAACATTATCATCTCCAACAACACTCTCTGTTGCCCAATCAATTTTAATTTGACAATTCCATAAATTATTCCAGCATACCAGGCTAGTTCCCATTGCTTGGAAAGCTTCCTTAGTTGATGGAAATGTAACTAATGCTTCACCAGTATTGTCATTTAATATAGTATTATGATAACCATTTTTGATATTGTTAGTTATATTAGTACTTTCAAAACCCTTTCGAAGATTTATTAATGAATTCGGAAATATTATATATAAAACAGATTTAACATCCCACTCGTTTAGGTATGTTGGTATATTTCTTATATGAAGGTGTCGATATGTATCAGTTAAATCTATTTCCAATGTTCTACCCTTCAGTATGTAGCAGTCTTGAAGGACTGTTTTTGCACATAATGCATCGTCATATGTTGCATAGCGCACGAATGCAACATGATACGTTTCTAACCTAGAATTCGTTAATATACAAACGCTATATAAACGACCAAGACGCCTGCAAATTCGTATAAACAAATCCGCTGTAAATCCAAATGGTAAATTTTTTATAACAACCTCGCAGCTATTATCTGGTTTTGGTCCAACCCAATCCATAGGAGGCCCGTACATTTTCGAATAACAGTGATTCATATATGGCGATATCATTGTGCTTCTGTTACTAATATTTAAAATATTTTTTGTAGCACATATATGCTTTTAAAAATTACTTTACTTTAAAACAATTTTGAGTTTTAGTTCGCTGCAAATAATTTCTCATATTAAACACTCATATTTTTCGAACTATTTCCAATACGCGCACCACTACATCACTAACATGATTGAACATATTTGAAGACTCAATAGATTATTTTTTAGAAATCTATCTTGGTGTGTTCAGTTATTGCCTAAGCCGTGCGCAAATATTAAAGTACTAGACAATAATTATTATATGTCAATTGATATTGTGGTATCAAGTATTCTCTTATTGGAAAATAATTTAATGAAGTATTTAGATGGAAAACAATATGATTACATATAAATGCTCCGGTACTTCCTGCTCACAGTTGTTATAAAGCGGGTCTTACACATTAGACTTGGTCGTACAACTGATGTGTGATAGCAATATTTGCAGGTCTGACGGCAAGTCGGATGGAAATCAAAATAATTTGATTTTTCGTCAAAATTACTCGTGTTTTTTCTTATACAATCAAATTTTTGTCGGTTTACATGTAAATTTCATTCTATTTTAAGAGATGGAAGAGATGGAATAATGTCAACTATAATATGTTGGATTTGTAATAGCAACCGACGTCGCAGAAGTTGTACGATCAAGTCTCATGTGTAATACGTGCTTAACTCTTCCTGTTTATGACAAAATTAGTCCTTTTCTTTTTTAGTTCTACGGAAAATTTCCCTATCGAAAATGTAGCTCTCATCTTTGGAAATTTTTAACTGTAGATTAGTGTCATGAAGGTATGACAAACTTAATGATCCGTTTTAGTTATAAATCCTAAATCTCATTCGGTTCAATAAAAGTCGAATGAAGAAGCTAAAATCATTTCCTGTTAAACTCATAATACTATCACTAAGCAGATAGGTGAAAGTTTTACTCTGCAATTCATAGGATACACAGGTGTCCGTATTATTTCGTACCAAAAGCTAATAGGGGTTGATCTGAGCTAACTGATTAAACTGTTAAACCTCTGGCTACGATAAACGTTTGGAGTTCAGACTTTCTGAACAAATATTTTGTTCCATAGTATTGATTTGGTCTGACAAACTGATCTCTCGAAAAAAAAGTGCAGAACCTATAAAAGGAGATGCTGTTGTCGTCCTTGCAAGCTTGTCAACTCTTTCGTTATTGTCGAATTTGTCCTGATCATGTATCCAGACAAATGTCAATTTAATTACAGTAGCTAACCGATTTTAATGTTGAGTAGTTTTTATTTAAAAAAATATTCCATCGTTACTGGGTAGAGAGCTGATTCATACCTACAGTTATAGTAAGGTGTCCTTCTTCAGCAGAACAGAGTTGAGGTTGTTGATGGTATATTTAATAGGTCATTATTGGACTGCGTTATCACTTTAACAAAATGGTTCTCTCCGAAAAGATAGATAGTTGACTCTGCTTAGAACCAGTCGAGACTTCTAGTCACATTCTCTGTGACTACCCAGACTTGATCTGGGTCAGGAGGAGACCAGTGGGTTGAGAACTACTCTCCGCTTCTGACATTAGGAGGTCCTCAACGGCTGACATTCTGGCTTTTATTCGGTAGGCGAAATTTCTTCTGTTCGGTTAGGGTCTATTGCACCACAAAGCTTGTGTTTATTCCTATTTCTATGTATTATTTTCCTATAATTGATCTGTGAATTAATCTACTTTCTGGATTTTTAAATAAAATTTGATTATTAATACCTATATGTCCTAGCAATTTAAATGTATGTCTCTTCCGGATTAAAACTGGATCGATTTTATATTAAATTCTATATTCAGAACTAATGATCTCTGCCCTCATAAAAGCATCGAAATTAAACTTATTTGATATTTAAAGAATACAATCCATACAAAACCCATACAAATATTGTAATTTTAATTTTATTGAAACAAAGTATAAATTAAAAAATAATTCAAGAAAAAATAACGCAACTGTTGCGTTGAACAAATATAATTAAATATAAGTATTTTTTTTAATTATTAAATATTAAATTTATTTATTGTAATTTTTAATATTGAAAAAAAAAATTTTTAAGTATATGATTAACAAATGATAAAAATTTAAATTTGTAGTTCTTTCGTTAATAAATTAAAGTGAGAATAATGTTAAATAATCCATAAAAATTATTGATAAAGTCAAAAAAAAAAAAAAAATTACATAACAATATAGTTTTGAAAGTATTTCATAACATTATATAAAATTAAAAAAATAATTCAAACCTTAATAATTAATATTAATTAATTTTTAATAAATTTTTTAAGCTTATTTATAAAAATAAAAAAAATAATTTAATGGCTTAATATATTTAATAATATAATAAACAAAAAACATGAAGAAAGGAAATAAATACAAAAAAATAACAAAATAAATAATCATAAAAAATTAATTTAAAAAAAATAATAAGTAAATAAAAAACTAATATCAAAATAGAAAACACTAATAAAAAAATAAATAAAAAAAAATAACAAAAATAAAAACAATAAAACAATATAAAAAAACTTAAAAAAAATATATAAAAAATTAAAAAATATAAAAAAATATATAAATAATTAAAAAAATATATAAAAATTAAAAAAATATATAAAAAATTAAAAAATAAAAAAATATAAAAAATATATATATACTATATAAAAAAAATATATATAAAAATATATAAAAAATATATAAAAATAAATATATAAAAACATATATAAAATAAATAAAAACAAGAAAAATTAGAAAAAAAAATATAAAAATAGAATTTAGTATGTACTAAATTAGAATTTCTTAACTTATATTTAAAATACTTTCATAAGTATATTTAAGCAAATACATACATATAAAAAAAGACGATTTAAAACTTGATATGTCTTAAACATTTTCTGAAGATATTTCTTCATGACTTATATATTTATATAGTAATTTATAGCTTGATATATTTTAAAATCTTTTAAAAAAAGTATAAAATTTAAGCAAAACTGTTTAATCAAAAATTAAAAAGTTATCGATACAAAAACAGATATTGATTATTTATTTATTATATATATATATATACTATACGTATTATTTTATATCTATTATAATTTATATATTATATATATTACATTATATTGTACATATTGTATTATTTTGTACATATTGTATATACTATATTATATTGTACATATTATACCATATATATTATCTTATATATGTTAAATATAAATTTACATATTTTTTTAAAACCTTTTATAAAATATAAAATTTAAACAAATTTTTTTATAGATATTTATGTATTAAATAATACTTTCGTCTCTTAGTATATATTTTAAAATGAATTTATAAATTTTAAAAACGTTAAAAAATTATAAAATTAAAAAAATAGGTTATGATATTTACAAGTACCAAGTCAAAATATTTTAAAAATTTAAAATTCTTAAATAATATAACATCATAACAATTTAAGTTCAAAAGATTTATGCATTATTGATATTATCATATTTTCAGAACCTATACACACGTACAACACTCTTTTAGAATTGATTGCAAACTCATCATATAAATTATTGAGGTGGAGGTCGATCTGCTTTATGCACAGTTCTAAAACTATTTTTATACGATGTACCAATAAAATTTCTAATATCTATTTTCAATTTTTTTTCTGGATGGTAAGAACGTGTATCACCAAATAGCAAATACTTTAACTGAGAACTGGTCCGATCATGTCTTAAATCAAGTGGTTGCAGTTCAAAAGAGACATATTTAAAGTTCTTATTAATGCATTGGACTTGTGATTGCGGTGTAGGAGTATATGGCCTATCGGGATTATAATTAGAAGAAGTACTTTTATGACATAGAGCAAAATTTAACTTAGTGTCATTAAGATCATGACCAATAGGAAGTTTGCGTCTATAATTTGGTATAATAGTACCAAAAAGTCTATTTCCTAACACACTCACATACGGGAGATATGTTTTTACATTGTTAGTTTGAAAGGTTTGGTAATACTTTTCAATAAGCACATCTCCATCCATTTGACATAAAATCGCTACTGCCCAGGAAAGATCAACTAATTCATTAATATCAAATTCGAAGTTATTATTCTCAGTTGATGTGCGCGTTCCAATTACCTGTATAAAGTTATTCAATTGTACAACACAACCCACTATAAAGAGAATAATTATATTAAATTAATTACTTTTTCAACATACTTATTTACTTACATATATGTGCGGTATTATACTGCACGTCTATTAAGTAGTTGACATCTGGAAATATCCCGATACCATCAATTAAAGTGCAAACAGTTTCGCAGACGCGGGAATGTATATCCACCAATTGATCGGTGTGCATTATACAGAATATACAGCGAGCTTCAGTATAGTTATCAGTAATATTTCGCAATACTACAGCGCAATATTGCAATGACTGCTCTTTGTAATAACTACCAAATAATATGATTGGAACTTCCCAGTTGTTAGCTATGCACTTCAAACGTAACATTGTATCAAAATCAAACCAATGCAATTCGTCTCTACATAAATGAATCAAATTAGTTACGTATGTAGTGAAATTAAAATATCAGTCAAATAATATGGAGAAACTTACATTGCCTTGCTTTTAGTCCATCCAATGTCAATTTTTTCACCGCAATTATATTGTAAGATTTTCATAAATTCTAATGCAGATTCACGATTGGTAAAATCTATATATGCTGTTGTAGTCCATATTGATAATTTAAGTACAGTAGTATGTGGAATAAATGGCAAAATAAGATCCATTAAACGATATTTTTTCAAGGAAGTATCAAAATTATTTATAAACACTGAGTTATACTAAAAAATATTCAATTTGGTTTATTTAAAAAAAAAAAAAATTATTTTAAACATGACTTACTGAATATTCGTTTATCTCTCTATTATTTTTGTCCCAAGCAATGGTAATATCAGAATTCCATAAACGCACAGTCTCAGATTTTATCATATGTTTTGCCTGTACTGCATCAGTATGAGATGCAAACTGAACTAAGGCAGAAATAGTTAAACAAGCCCGATAAATCATCATTTCATCCACACCTATTGCTGTCGCTAGATTCTTCATTTGAGCATATTCTCTTGGATTTGGAATTGAATAATTTAGGGTTATATGTTGTGACTTGGGAAAAAGTTCTTGTAATTTTGCTTTTATTTCGTCTTCTCTTATGCAAATTGGAATATTAGTTAAGAACAATTGGGTTTTTTCATATGAGAAATTGATATCCAACTGTACGCCTTCAATATAAAAATGACTTAGCACCTTAACGGCACGAACTGCATCGTCGTCATTAAAGTACTTGACATATCCATAACCGGTAAATAGGTCATATTCGTCAATTCGAAAACATATTTCATTAATATGTCCGAAACGCAATAAATTATTGGTGAAATTTGCTAAATTCATTATCTTTGGTATATTTAATATGCAAATCTCAGAACAGCTTGTTGGTGATGGTCTTAACATTTCGCTAAAATAACTAATAGTCCAACGTAATTCGTTTGGCACAATTGCGTCCATTATGAAGCTTAATGTACTAATTAATATTTTTATAAAAACGATTTTAAACACAATATATTAATTAGATTAGTAGATATAAAAAAAAAAACAACCCTCCCTTACCTGCAACTAAAGTTTAACTAGACTACGTCAGCGAAAACGATATATACATATGTGATTTCTCGAAATTGAAAATTTATACCGCGAAAGCAAGCATTCCATTGCGGCGAATTCAACACATCGATAACAAATGATCATATGTGTACATGTTTTATAACAGTTTTCATAATTATTTGAAGTTCAGTTTAATGAACATTGATTATGTATTTTATACTGCCTTTGTTAAAATAAAAATACTTCAATAAATTTAATATTAAGTTTATTGTTGTATATTTGTTATTAAATAAATGAAATAAAATTTAATATACTTTTTCAAACTGATATACATAAGCTGCATTCAACTCTTTAGCAATATGTGCTTCTTTTGTTTGGATGTGATATTTGCAATTTTTTTTCTAGAGGATATAAACATTTTGTCATTGTAGTTGTGTGTAATAACTTGTTGCATGCTAAAGGCATTTCTTGTGTGCATTTCTTTAATAACATCGTGTGAAACATTTCTACAAAAGAAACTAATAGTTGAATTTTACCTATAATATTATATCAGCACAAACTTTAATAGCATATAAAGTATTATAATGCAAAAAACAAAAAATATTGAGTATGCTTTTATGCAAGTTAATGGACGTAAAGTATTGGGGCCGCCAATAAACTGGCAAGGACCCGCACCATCCAGTAGCTATGAAATTTATATAAGAAATATACCAAAAACAATGAATCCATCGTTTTTTGCTGCGAATTTCTTGCGTTTTGGTAATGTCTATGAAATACGCTTGCCACTCGAACAAAACCAGCAATATCGCGGATATGGTTATGTTAAGTATACGAATGAGGAAGATGCACTTCGTGCCGTCGAAGTGCTAAATCATTTTTATATAGAACCAGGCGTAAAGTTGGATATAAGTTTCTCTTTTGAGAAAAATCAACTATATATAAGCAATATTCCCAATTTTTTAAAAGAAGATGCAATAAAAACAAAATTGCAACAAATTTTACCCACGGCTCAACGTGTAACTTTATTCAATAGAAATCAAGCAGCTGATTTAGACTCAAATGATAAAGAGAATTTAGTAATGCTACAAAGTCTAGATTATTACAAGTCCGAAGGTCGCACAAATATATCTGCAATTGCTCATTTCGCCTCACATGCTGATGCGGTTGAAGCAAAACGTATGGCTAATCCTGGTACTGTGCGCTTATGGAACTCGCATGTTAGAATTGTTTGGGCCAAGTCAAGTGAAGAGCATAGTTTTGCGGTAAGTTAAATTTGAAATAATAATTGTAAATTAAATATATACAAAGCAATTAAATTTTTTTTTTTTAGAGTAAATCGTTGTATTTGCGTAACTTTGATTCTTCATTGACCAAACGTGATTTAATGAATCTGATTTTGGCAGTAGTGCCACGTACTTCTTTACGTAAACTAACCATGTTGTCGACAACCGCCTTTATAGATTTTACCAATCGCGAGTATGCAGTGGAATGTCTGCAAAAACTACAAGGAATTAAATGTGGTGACAAAAGTTTAAGAATTGAGTTTGCAAAGAACAATTACATGTTGGTATCCATCTCATCATCCCATAAGTATTAGCTAATATATTTATTTTTTAACTATTTGTTTTATTATTTATTTAGCAATGATGTAATTACCATTGATTTTGATGCCATTTTACGCTTGAAGTGCATAGCTAACGACTGGGAAATTCCAATTATAATATTTGGTACTTATTATGAAGAGCATTCATTGCAATATTGCGCTATAATATTGCGCAAAAATGTTGATGATATAACTGAAGTTCGCACTATTTACTGTATAATGCACACCGATCAATTGGTGGATATACACTCACGCCTCTGTGAAACTGTTTCTACTTTAATCGAATGTATCGGCACTTTTCCAGATGTCAATTACATTGTAGATGTACAACATAATACCGCTTATATATGTAATTAAGCAATTGTTATTGAGAAAATCAATTAAATATATATAATAATACTTATTTTATAGTGGGTTACGTTCAACAGATGAATAAGCATATTAAAATATTTGCAGCACAAAATACTGCTAAGGACAAACATTTCGAATTTGATATGAATGAATTAACTGACCTGTTCTGGGCGGTACCGATTTTAAGTTACATGCATGAGAATATACTTATAAAAACTTATTATCAAACATTTGATGGTACAGCGAAAAAATATTTACCATATGCAAATGTATTTGGTTATCGTATTTTTGGTACTATTATGCCAAAGTATCGCAATGCAAATCCACTTGGCTATGGTCTCAATGAGACACAGTTAATTTTCGCTTTATGTCACAGAACAACTGCAACTAATTACGATCCAGAAAAACCTTATACTCCCACACCACAAGCGAATTTCCAATCTTCAGACATATTCTTCAAAAGTGTCTCGTTTCAATTGTTACCAATCGATTTAAGAGAGAATGTAACTGGTTTTAAGTTAAAATATTTGCTATTTGGTGATACAAACTATTATCATCCAGAAATAAAATCTTTAACAGATTTTGGTGAACTCAATGGTTTCTCGTATAAACAAAGTATTAGGACTCTATCTGAACAACGTTCTGTCTCGGAGAAAAAGTATGAACTACCAAAATTAATAATTAAAGCTTCAAACTGTAGAAAATAAATCTACAGTGCAAATATCTATATATAGTGCTCTGAAATACCATACTGCTCTAACTAAAAATTATTATTATATAAATATATCTCTCAATACTGATTCGTTGATAAAAATATTAAGCTAACTTCCTTTATGAATTAAATATTTAATTAAAAAGCTTGTTTTCTAAAAGTTTGTTTTCTAAAAATCGAATTCAAAAATTTATCTAATTTTAAAGATTTATTAAAAAAATATAAAATAATTACCATATTAAATACAAAAACATTAAAAATAAAACAAATTTTATAAAAACATATTTTTTTGAAAAAATGTATTCAGAAAAAAAAATATGTTTTAAAAAATAACTAAAAATATAAATATGAAACTGAAAACAAAAACAAAAACGAAAAAAATAAATGTGTTTTAAAATAAACCCTATTTGACAAAGTATAAAAAATAATTTGCAAAATATATATATATATATTCAAAACAAAAAAAAAAATTTATATATAATTATATACCATATGTATATTAAATGTTACATGAGTGTTTAAAAAAAATAACAATTATAAAAAAAATTAAATAAAAAGTATAAATATTTGTATGTATTAATATATAATTATATTTATAATTAATATATATATATTAAAAAACATATTTTCAAATATATAAAAATATATATAAAAAATAAAAAATAACTAATAATCAAATTGTAAAATATTAATCAAATAATCAAATTGAGCAATATTTATTAAATTGCATAGAATAGTGAACTTCATACATAAACTTTTAATGTATTGTCATATCCTAGAATTGGTAGTGTTTATCAAGGTAAATTCAAATGCTGTGGTTGGTTGTTATATGAAAATAAAATACATTTAAAACAAATAAAAAATGTATTTTTAATTTCGATCAGTAACGTAACAATGGAGGTGAAGGGGTTACATAAGTGGCTATAGTTTATTTAAAATAAACCTAAGGTGTCTACCTATGTATAGAAATATGTCTACCTATGTACAGAAATATAAAAGTAAAATGAAATTAACAATTACTATAATTTTATTTTTTTTTTAAACCGAAATACTAAGTCTTTGAATTATTTACATAATTTATATAGAGATTACTTATATAGTTTAAAATCAGAAATTACATATTAAATGGAACATATTACATTCCATATGGCAGATATAGTTTTTATTAAAAACTAGAAAGGTTCAAAATATATGAAATAATTGACATATTTGAACAATAACATGGGCGATAATATATAATAATGTAATATAAAATAAAAAAAAACATACGTATATGCTGTGCAATAAATTTATTAGGTATTATGATATATATAAAATATATTAACCAAAAAATTTTTGTGTTATATGCAATGTGCTAACAATTTTCAAAAGAACAAGGCTGTCACTGAACACACCCATCAAATCATTGTTGTACTGAATGGATGGTCACTCATTTCCAAATAATGTTAGTGGAAAAGCTCCGTTACTTTATTTGAGTGCGCAAATATCTAACAAATTTTTAAATTAAATTTATTCAAATATATAAAGTGAAAATAACGTAAAATATATTAAAAATTGTTATAATTCTGTGTATAGTGTTTGAAAATAATAAAAGATGTGTGGAAAATGTGAAATAAATTCAATTTTAAAACTTCGCGTATTTTGAACAAATTAATGGTAATTTTGTGTGTATGGCCCACAATAAAATTAGTTCAGTCTGCTAAGCAAAAATTAAAAAACTGGATAATTGCGTTTTTCATTATAATTGGTATTTAAATAAGTGGTTACAGTTTGGAAATATTAAATTGCGATTCCGATAGCTATTAAGAAAGTAAACACAATATTACGTTGACATCAGATCTGCGGCGGCCATATTTAAATATCTCTTGGGTAGCAATTAATATTGCAAGGATAGCCAAATTAAATAAATTAAAAAATATTTTATTTATTTCATAATTTCAATCCGTTTATTTCTATTGGAGCGATTTTTAAAAGGAATGAACACAACATTTTTTTAGAGGTAATTAAAAAAATTTGTTTAAATTTAAATTTATTTATTTACACATATACATTAGTACATTAAAAAATTATTTATTTACTTTGTATACAACACTTTAAAAATATAATAACAGAAGCCATAAATTATAATTATAAGAACCATAACAGACATTGTAGCTCAATTACCAAAAATTGCAGTTATATTGTGTAGTAAGTAAAAGGTAATAATCTATGTTCTTAGATACACACGTACATACATACATGCAAGGATGAAGATAACACATATGTTTGATGTTAAAACATACAATAATTTGCAATAAATGCCATTCTACTCTCTAACTGTAAATATTACAATCAGAATATTTTTACAAGATTGCAAAATAGCAGTTCAAATAATACAAATAAAGTTGTTATTTTAGTCAGTTAGAATAATATCAACTAAACTCTTCTTGTGACAATCAATATAGTCATGTCTCTAGTAACATAATCATACTGCATCGGTTCCACTTTATTCTGGCAGTAAATTTAACAATATTCCAATTAGAAACGTTTTTACAGAGTCTTATAAAATAAAAGCAATAAAAAGAAGGTCTCTTAAAACTGAACGATCATCTCAACGAAGTGGTTGGTGATTGGATATGAATGGTGGTTGGATGTAGACCCTGCCGTTCTTGGAAATAATTGCTTGTATATTAACAATTATAATATTTATACAATATTGCAAACTATCAGTTTGAATAATACAAATAAAGTTGTTATTTTAGTCAGAATAATATCAACTAAACTCTTTTAGTAACAATCCATATAGTCATGTCTCTAGTAACATAATCATACTACATCGATTCCCCTTTATTCTGGCAGTAAATTTAACAATATTCCAATTAGAAACGTTTTTACAGGGTCTTATAAAATAAAAGCAATAAAAATAAGGTCTCTTAAAAGTGAACCATCATCTCAACGGAGTGGTTGGTTATCGGATATGAATGGCGGTTGGATGCAGACCCTGCGGTTCTTGGAACTAATTGCTTGTATATTAACAATTAGAAGATTTATACAATATTGCAAACTAGCAGTTTGAATAATACAAATAAAGTTGTTATTTTAGTCAGAATAATATCAGCTAAACTCTTATTGTAACAATCAATATAGTCATGTCTCTAGTAACATTATCATATTACATCGATTCCACTTTATTCTGGCAATAAATTTAACAATATTCCAATCAGAAACGTTTTTACAGGATCTTATAAAATAAACGCAATAAAAAGAACGTCTCTTAAAAGTGAAGGACCATCTCAACGGAGTGGTTGGTCATTGGATATGAGTGGCGCTTGGATGTAGACCCTGCCGTTCTTAGAACTAATTACTTGTATATTAATGATGTGAGATAAATATTTTATAATCAGTTCTTTAGTTAAGTGAGAGCAAATGAGAGCATCTGAGAGAGCGTAACATCCCTGTCGAAGTTTGAAAATGCTACACACACTTTACTCGTATATTTTATTTCAAGTAAAATTTGTGTTGATGTGTGAATCAGCTGTTTTGGTTTGAAACGGACGGACTAAAAAGTCCCCTACATTCTCAGCTAAAACTCCTGTAAATCCCTGCAGTACGACCAATTAAGGTATTCCTTCACAGGGCAGGATAGAAGAGCACTTAGCGTGCTTTCACTCCGATTGTACTAAGTATTTCGTCCGCTCTAACAGTGTTTGTTGTTTTAGATATTATGCTCTTGTAGAGGCTCCATTGTTCAATGCTTGCCAACATTTGCATTACTACAGTAGGAGGGCTGGCTTATACAGTCTCTAATTATATGGTCGGGGTTTTGGTTTGAATTGAAATTTTTGTATTGTTTATTTGTGCGGTACTGGTGTTCTCACCAGACTTTTTCACTTTTGAAATTTATCTGGTTCGTCTTTTTAATTTGGGAAAAAAATTAATTTCTTGCCCCCAGTGATGATTGGGTTCAAAAGTGGATCGTTTTATTGCTGTATGAGAAGCAAATCACAGACGTGATTTTCAATCACAATTTTTTCTTCACAATAATATAATATATCAATCGTAATCGTGTCTTAAAGGAAGTTTTATTTGGCTAAGATATTTGCATGTATTAACCTGGAATTCATATTTTACTATTATCATTGTGAGTGTTTTTGTTTCTGATATATCACGTCAGTTATATGATTAATTTTAGTTTTTTTTTAACTGAGCTCTTTCAATGTTTGTGTTGTCATTAGAGGTTTTCCAAATTATTGGACACCCAATGTCCAAATTGTGTTAATAGTACTCTTGCATAAAATAATCTTATAATCTAAATTTAAATGAATCTGCTGTTGAGCACCTTATGTTAGCTGCTTCCATTATATTTCGACTTATTTATTTTATATATTTTTGTCAGATTAAGTAGCCTTCTGAGTGAAAGCTTACATGGGTAACATAATCTGCTTGAGGTATAACTGTGCTATTTAGAGTAATTATCGGCTTGGTCTTTCTGTTGTGAGAGAAAGTGTTAGAGTGACTGAAGTGTGAAATTGAGAGGTTTAAATATATATTTCACGCACATAGTTATTAATATTCTAAATATTATATGAAACTAACTTTAAAAGCTCCGTACACTTTACTTAATATCTATTCAATCGATTTAGCACATTTTGACAAAGCAGCAATTAGAATGAACTTTATCGAAACTATGTAACTACTGAATGGAAACTATTCTAAGACAATCTGAGGAGAGTTCAAAATATTCTATAAAATATTAACTAACACATGAGTCAATCTGATATGAATATTTCAAACAGGCTACGTAGAAACGAGAAGAGTTGCAAAATATTTCTCTCGACCTTTATTGTCAATACAATATTAACATTAAATGTTCGAAACTAATAAGATTGGATTTTGAATTATTTCAGTAATAAGTACTATAAATGTAACAGTATATTTCAAGCGGTACTCTGATGACACTTAAATTTTCTGCTGATATAACCGTGCTATTATAAAGTAATATATCAGAAACAGATATTAAATTTTTTACTGATATTTAAGCAGTTATAGAAGCGTTACACTCTCCATATATCAAATCTAAAATCAGTTTATCCCGTGTTGTCTCTCTAAACG